TTAAAATTTAATAATATATCTTGGAGACTATTCCATCTCATCCTTTTAATTGATTGCTTAGTATCCCATAATTAACTTGACCAGCTATTATTATTTGCCTTTTTCTAATAAAAGTAAGGCTAAAATGAATATCTTGATGTATACAATATTTCTTACATTGAGTATATCTGGAGGATAAATCCCTACCACTGGAATTTCTGGGTTAATTTGTATGTACCTTTTGACATATATGCAAAATTGTTCTCCTTAGAGGTTGTGTCAAATTTCATTTCTGTGATTAATATATGAGAGGGCTTGTTTCTTTACATTGTACCCAAAGGTGAGCTATTACTAGTATGCATGGTATATTATTGAAATTTCAACTTGTCCTCCTTTTGAGTGAGATTGAATATCTATTCATATATTTAATGACTACTTATATTTCCTTTTCTGTAAACTACTATGTTTCTATATTTTGCCCATTTGAACACCAGATTGTTGGTCTTTTTCTTACTGACTTTAGGAGTTCAGAGATTTTAACTATGAGTTAAACAGGGTTTGTATGGGTTAGAATACAAACCAAGTGATTATGTATAAGATGCTTGCCATGCAAAAATAATACATGCCCAGTTCCAAGCACCCCTCCTACCAAACAATTAACTTTTATACCTAATTGTGAAAGGGAAGCTGCTTTGATTTCAGTCCTATTTTTTGCATCTTCGAACTGATTGGAATGGTTTTTACTAGTATGATTATGTACTGAGAAAACTCTAAAATAAAAGCAATGATTAAACTAATTCAATCAGGAAAATAATCCAGTACTTGGAGAAACAGAAATTACTGTGCAGAAATCAGTAGCCTTCATTTTCACAAATAATAACCTGTTAAAAGACAGAATGATAGAGAAAGCCCCATTTCAAGAGCAACAGAAAGATAAAATACTTAGGAATAAATTTAACAAGAAAGGCACAAACTGCTACAAGGAAAATTTTAAAACACTTCTGAAAGATACAAAAGTAGGCCTTAATAAATTAAAGTTAACATTTGTATTTTCTTTAAAGATTTTATTTATTTAGTTTTAGAGAGAGAGGAAGGGAGGGAGAAAAAGAGGGAGAGAAACATCAATGTATGAGAGATACATTGTTCGGTTGCCTCTCACACACCCCAGATGGGGACTTGGCCTGCAACTCAGGCCTGTGCCCTGACTGGGAATTGAACTGGCAACCCTTCAGTTTATAGGCCAGCACTCAATCCACTGAGCCACACCAGCTAGGGCTTAATATTTGTTTTTAGATAGGACAACTTAGTGTCATAAAGATTTCAGTTGTCCCTAAATTAATTTATAAATGTAATGTAATTCCAAGAAAAATGCCAACAAAATTTTTTAAGGGACTGGACATGTTGATATTAAATTTCATATGAAAAAATAAATATATAGAAATAGCCAGGAAAAGATTAAAAATTAAAAGCTATGAGGAGTCACTATCCTTACATACTTTAAAACACTGTAAAGCCTGTAAATGAAACAGTATGTACTGGCACATGAATCAACAGATAGGGCAGTGGAAGAGAACAGAAAGCCCAGAAATAGACCCAAGTATGTAGGGAACTTAAGCATATGATGAAGGTGGCCCCATACCACTAGAGCAAAGATGGACTTCTTTATTCTCATTATGAGGGATGGTGAGACAACTAGTCATTAGGAAAGATAAAATTAGATCCATATCTCACATCATGCACAGAAATAAGTACCAATGGCTCAGGGATCTAAAAACAAACCATACAAGTACTAGACGAAAACATGGTTGAATTTTACTTTAACTTTGGTGTAAGGAAAGTCTATGACTCAAGTCCAGATGCCACACAAGAAAATACTAATAAATTTGACTATATAAAAAGAGTAACTTTGGAATGTCAGAAAACACCATAACAAAATATTTGACAATTGACAAACTAGGAGGAATATTTTGAACCATATTACAGTTAGGTAATATCTCTAATATATGAAGAACTCTTAAAATTTGAGGGGGAAAAATATCAAAAGCTCAATAAAAAATGACAATTTACAAAAATAATGTAAAAATGGCCCATTGGCATATGAAAATGTGTTTCACTTTACTCATAATTATTATGAGAAATTTAATAACAAAAATGAACTATGCAGATATAATATTTCTCATACCAGGTTGGCAAAAATGTAAAAATATAGTACTTTTTTAATAGCTGGAGATAGTGAAAATTTGTACAACCCATACACATATGGAAAGGGGGTAGCAGATTTAAATGTACTCACTATGAACTGTTTTTTCTTTCTATAGATATGTAACAATATATTTGTGGATGTGTGTATATACTTATGTGTGTGTATCGGTATGCATACATCTGGCTTCTGTCTTTGGTGAGAGAGCTGGGAAGCAATGACAGCCCAGTAGCAATGAATACACCCATAGGACAAATCTTGGTTTCTATATGCCACACCCCACTAAAAGGAATCAGGGCACCTTGGAGAAATGTCTGATTTCTCCTAGACGAACCTAGAATATTTTGTTGTACTAAAAAGTAAGTGCTCTAGCATAAGAAAGGACATGCCAAAAGGATAGAAAAGCCAGGTTGAAGAGTCTCCCACTGTCCGAATCAGAGGAAGTTTGAGCACTGAAATAATTATAGCAAAGTATTATAACTTATTGATTAAAAAAGAATCCATGAGTTCATAGTGATATTAATGAATAAATGGTGGAGAAGGGAAAGTTCTTCTTTATAGTATTATAGAAAAGAAACTAATAAATATATTAGGAATGAGTGAATTAAAAGATCACCATTTGGCAACCATCTTAATAATTTATTGAAGCAAGAAGCATCAGTGGATGTTAAAACTAACAGGCAAAAGTTTTAGGAATAACAGAATATATATATGTCTAAAAAATACCTCCCCATAAAATACTTATTAATGATGAGGAAAAAAATAGTAAATTTACAGTGGAGAAATGGCCACCTGAGCGAAGTATTCAAATGATAGAGCACAAATCAGCACCGTGTGCCTCTTAATATGCAGCATCAAGAAGATACAGCATCACTGTTGTAATATTCCTGCCCAAACGCCTAACCTGAATCTAATCATTAGGAAACATCAAACTCCAACTGAGAGATTTTACAATAACTAGTTTGTTGTGCACATTAGAGTGTTCTATACATAGATGAAAAATAGAATTGACTCTTTTTAATAAACTCATTTGCACACTTCCAGAGCACTGTTGGCATAACCTTTTATTTTCTGAAAATGAAGGACATGAGGAAGCTCACTGCAAGCTTAGCTAGTTTCAGAAGCAGTTGGTCAAGTTGTAATTGTTTCTGCTGATTAGAAGCCATAGTTTGGGCAATTTGATTTTTATCAGGAACAGTAGGGAGGAACAGTTACAGGAGAGGACAGGCAAAGGCCATAGTTAAAAATTCTCAGTTCTTTGTGGTCTGTTAAAGGGTTTTCACATGAATTTTTCAAGTCTTAATATAATGAAAGTTAAACAGCTCTTTATTCTTAATTTAAAGCAGTATTTTAAAATGTTCCAGCTAAATTTCATTGATTCCACCAGAGATGAAAAGTGGTTGTAATATAAACTAATCTACTTCATGAAAGAAAAAAAAATTTTTTTTGTACATAAGAGGAAAACATTCCATGTGTGAAAGGATAATTTTCAAAAAAACATAAAATCATGACCCATATACAGATATAAAAATGGATATGTTATATTTAACTCAGGGCATAAACTGAGTGCTAAACTAGTTCCAAGTACAATCCAAAGAACAGACTAGGAATATTAAATGTGCGAATGGAGGCAAAAACTGCTTTCTCCATGGTGGTGGGGGCGAGGGTGTGGGTGGGTGACATTCCAATAGATACAATTCATTTGCATAGGTATAAAACAAAAATTAGTTTCCATTCCTATCAGTTATCTACAACTTACAAAGTTGTAAAATAACTCACATGAAATCAGATTCACTAAATCTGAAAGGATGCAGTGCGTGATTTTTTTTCTTTCTTCTTCTTCTTCTTTTTTTTTTTAACCCTACAACTGTTAAGTTATTATCTGTCTCCAGTAGGCAGAAATCATGGGCGGCAATGGGAATATACTGGTCATAAGGTTAACTTCCCACAATTCAATAAGCATATGGTTATGGGAATTTTTCCTTCCATTTACAGGTTATTTCAAGAAAATTAGATACTACTTTGGTTCACTACTTGATTGTCAGGGAGCCAGCTCTGCAGGGGCCCTTATCCGGACAAGATAATGACGTACTCCGTCCACACAGCTTCCCGAACAACTGCAGGGAAACCTAAGTAAAACTGCACTTTCAAAAGGGCACCGTGCAGGAAGAGTGTGTGTTGGGGCCCCCTTTTTGCTAGTGGGAAGTGGCTTCACAGATGTACATTATTAATAAACCGGATCTGAAATGTCATTTAGACTTCTGCCTCCTCGTCCTCCCAACCTGCACGAGGAGGGACTCTTCCTAGAAATGATTCTCCCAGTACCTTTAAAAACATCATAGCTCAGGATGTGGAGACAGAACTGAGCTTGGATTAGGCTCAACCAACTACAAACTTGTTTATTCCGGAAAAAAGCGGGGGAGGTGTCATTATTATTCCTAGCTGCCAGCGTTGTTGGGAGATTTAAAGAGATGAGGGCTGTGAAAATGCTTTGGAAACTTGAGAACAAGTCTGTTAGATGCCACGATGCAAAGCTCAGAGCTGGAAAGGTAAGAGCCCTTTGCTCCTAGGAGACATCAATGCGGTTTGCACCGAGCCGGGCAGCAGCTGCCGCCGGAGCTCTGCCCGCAGGCTCCTCCCCCGCCCCACCGTTCGGGCCGGGTAGGACTCGGCGGGGGCTCGGGCTCCGGCCTCTCCAGCCCGCCGCCCGCTGGGGGTGAAGTCCCGGGGCGGGGCAGGCCCCGGCCGCCCAGTTCCTGATTCTATAAGCGGGGCCGTGGACTGGTGGCGCCACAGGCGCCGGGACCGTGGGCGACGAAGGATGGGCCCACGCAGCGCGGTGAGCCTGCCCCGAGGCGCCGGCTCGCCGCCGCCGCCGCCGCCGCTGCTATTACCGCTGCTGCTGCTGCTGCTGCTGCCGCCGCCGGGCTCGGGCGCTGGAGCCGGCCGGCCGCCCCACCTCGTCTTCGTGCTGGCGGACGACCTGGGCTGGAACGACGTGGGCTTCCACCGCTCCACCATCCGCACGCCGCACCTGGACGCGCTGGCGGCCGGCGGGGTGCTCCTGGACAACTACTACACGCAGCCCCTGTGCACGCCATCGCGCAGCCAGCTGCTCACGGGCCGCTACCAGGTACGCGGCGCCGCCAGCGCCCGCCCCACGCCCCGCTCCGCCTCCGGCCGCACCGCCCCGGGCCCGGCGCCGCCCGCCCGTCCCGTGGAAGAGGGTCGGGAAGCCGGGGCAAGCCGGGCTCCGTGCCCGGAGCTGGGTCCGAGTGAGGCGCCGTCTCGCCTCGGCAGCGCCGTCTCCGCGGCGGCCTCTGCGCATGCCCGGTTCCTAGGCTACCCGCATCCCCCTGCGCCCCGCCTCTCGGGGTGTTTTTTTTTTTTTTTCTGTCTTTCGGTTTCTGAAGGTCTGGGGGTGGAGGGGTTTCTGCGGAATGCTGGGTGCTGGGCCCTGCGAGCGCGTGGGCTGAAGGGTCGGAACGGCCTCTGCCGGGCGGTCCTGAAGTGGGAGGATGGAGAGGGAGCTGGCCGGGCGCCCAGGGCGGCCGTGAGCGGTGGGGAGCCGCGGAACTGCGGGGGGGAGTTAAAGTGAGAGTGCCCTCGGGGGGTTCGGCTCCGGTCCCCTGGGAGCCCAGCAGTGAGGGGCTGGGACGGTCCGACCAGAGGTTGAAGTAGGTTTTCCAAGTTTCGGCATTCCTGCAGTGAAACCTACCCAGGTTGATTTTTCTTGGGCTGCTGACGTCCCTTTCAGATTTAACCTGCATTCTGCCCCTTTGAGCATCTTCATTACCTCCGAAAGCTTCTCTTTAAAACTTCTCTGTAGTTAACAGAAAAAAATATATACGTGTAACGAGTGTGCATATATGTTAGATAATGGGCAATATGGAGAACATTTGCCTAGTGCTTTACTATTTTTAAAGGTAATTCTTGAAACAACCCGTAAGGTAGTTGTTATTTTTTAATCTCCTTTTACAAATCGGAAAACGAACCTGCAGAGGTTGAACGATGTGTTAAGAATCACACAGCTAGAAAGTAGTTAAGCTGGGTTTATGCCTTTCCTGCACCCACTAGTCACCTCAGGCCTCTTATTCTTAATCTGAATAAGATTGACATTTTCATAAGATCCTGATGTGATTATGACCATATTAAATAGAATAAATGGGAACCGTTTGAGATCACACGCATACCTTCATATATGCATTTGTTGTGTCTTTCATATAAGCATATTTTATGCCCTGACTGTACAAGTCACAGGGGATATGCCTGAGCCTTACCCTTGCAAATCTGTGTTCCTGTAGCCTTTTGGGTCAACCCTGCCTCATGCTGTCCTGAGATCGAGAGAAGGGAGAGTTCAATTGTAATAAGGATTTCCACAGTGGTGTGAAGACTTCTAGAAACAAGCATTGTACAACGGTCTGAGAAATAGCTGTAGTTAATGTTTGCGGTGGAGGTAAAGGATGGTTCCCTTCACCGCCAGCCCTAAGTACTTGCTACCTTCTAACTTTGGCTGCTAAGTGTAATCAGGAATATCTCCTCTGATGCAAATCTTACCCTGCATGCTTTGTAGGACTAAAGGGGCATTCGAGTAAAGAAGGGAAACCAGGAAAGGCAAGGTCGGCCCAGAATGGTTTTGCATTTGTTCCGAAGGAAGAGAACTGACCTCAAATTGCAGAAAAATGGGAGTGGCCATTCCCTTTTCTAACTTCCTCCCTTCCAACAGACTTGAACGGAAAGCAGATGCCACACTTCAAAAACTTGTTCATGTAATTGGCTGCTTTTGTCCCTTAACATCCTCCCCCACCAGCCACTAGCATTTCATCTTGGAAAAAACAAAAACAAAAACAAAAACTTGAGTATTTAGAGTACCCTGTGGTTAAGAAGTGAAGGCAGGGTAGAAGCTAGGTATTCTAAAAACAGTTTAGAGATCACTCAATTTAGCAAACCAGCCTCCTCAAGCATTTAATTTGACTTTTCTTCCGTTTTATTCTGATAGAGTTCAGGAGGCCCAATTAGAAATTACCTTGGGTTAGAAAGTATCCTCTTTTAAAGGAGTCATTATCTCAAGGGGTTAAGGAGCCTCATTGCTCTCAGATATTATATACTGATACTTTTCTAAACACTTGGATACATTCTCACAGCAACCCAATGAAGTGGAATTACTATCATCAGTACTGTTTGATAACAGGGAAACTGAAGCTGGAAGAAGTTTAAAAAGTTGCCCAAAAATCACAGGACATATAAGTGGTAGACCAGGATTTGAACTGGGCCGTGCGGCTGCATAGCCACTATATTACATTGCCTACCCAGAATTATTAAAAATATTTACCGAATGATCTATTATTTTTTGATATTTAGCCAGTTCCTCAACATCTCAATTTAAAAAATTATCCACTCACAGCTCAGGAGAGGAATTGCCTGTGTTAAATGTAAAGTGAAAATAGGGCCCTGGCTGGTGTGGCTCAGTGGATTGAGTGCTGGCCTGAGAACTAAAGGGTTGCTAGTTCGATTCCCAGTCAGGGTACATGCCTGGGTTTCAGGCCAGGTCCCAAATAGAGGGAGTAGGAGAGGCAACCACACATTGATGTTTCTCTCCCTCTCTCCGTCCCTTCCTCTCTATCTATCTATAAATAAATAAATAAATAAATAAATAAATAAACTTAAAAAAAATAAGGAGAAAGGCTTTATTTCAGAAACAGTCATGTGTTGTGCATAAGTTTAGACAACAAAAAGAGGAAATTTGTTTCTTTTAAAATTAGGTATCTTAAAGAACTACTTAATAGCCTATCTGTGAATTTAGCAATCATGCTTTAATATTTACAGACCTCCCTTCTCATAATCATTTAACTTTAGATTAGAAAAGAAAAGCATAAAGTAATAAGCAAGCCTAGACTGACTGATGGAACTTTATATATTTTTTTCTTTTTTCTTTTTTAAATTTTTAAATCATGTTTATTCTATTACAGTTGTCTCAATTTTTCCTCCTTTCCCCCCCTCCACCCATCCCACCCCCACCCCCCACTCCCACAGTCAGTTCCCACTCTGTTGTCCATGTCCATGGGTCATTCATACATGTTCTTTGCCTAGTCCCTTCCCCTTCTTTCCACCATTGTCCTCTTTCCCTATCCCCTCTGGTCACTTTCAGTCTGTTTTATGTTTCCATGCCTGTGGTTTATTTTTTTCGTTAGTTGATTTTGTTGAATAGATTCCACTTAGAGGTGAGATCATATGGTATTTGTCTTTCACCGACTGGCTTATTCCACTTAGCGTAATATTCTCCAGTTTCATCCATGTTGTTACAAAAGGTAGGATTTCTTTCTTTCTTTCTTTTTCTTTTTTTCTTTCTTTTTCTTTCTTTCTTTCATGCAGATTGATTTTATTTATTTTTTAAGTATAAAAATCAATTATAAAATATTAAAAAAATTAGAACCATTATGAAGTCTCAGCAATTAAACCAACATGACACCAGCGCAGAAATAATGAAGTGGATCAATGAAATATAATGAGCATTCTAGAAACAAACATATGTATCTGCCTAACAATGTAATATATGATATGTAATATATGATATTTCAAATCAATGAGGAAAATAAGGCTAATTCAACAAATAAGGTGCATGGACCACTACTACTTGAAATAAAACCAATATACAGCCCTATTATATAAGAAATATACATTATACAAGAAATATTCAGGTTAAAAATCTATATGTAGAACCTAAGGAGTTTTAGGAGAAAATACAAACTAATATTTTTCTTACCCTGAAGTAAAATATTCAAACCCAGAAGCTATAAAGTAAAATATTGACAATATGATTGTATTAAACATTTAAGGCTACATAGTAACATACATATAAAAAACAGTTAAAGGACAAGAGATAGAATGGGAAAGTATTTGCAACACATCTAAAACAGGGTTAATAGGGGGTTTTTTAGGGAAAAAAATTCTACAAACTTTTAATCAATAAACGGATAAAGAATACCAAAAAGTCATTTAAAGCTTTTTAAAAAATAATAGAAATAGGCAAGAAATATACAAAAACAGGTTTAGTTTCCACAAATAATAAACTTTTAAAATAATACATCATTGTCTCAATCAGATTAATAAGTATTAAAAATATTGGTAATATCAAGTATTGGCAACTGTGAAAGGAACTGGGTATTCATAGACTCTTTCTTCATCTTAAAGCAGTCCCTTTAGCATATTTTGCACTGCTGATTTGGTGGAGGTGTATCCTTTTAGCCTTCTTTTGTCTGGGAAACTCCTTATTTCGCCTTCCATTTTAATTGAGAACCTTGTTGGGTAGAGCAGTGTTGGTTGCAGGCCTTTGCTTTTCATGACTTGGAATATTTCTTGCCACTCCCTTCTGGCTTGCAGTGTTTCTGTTGAGAAGTCAGCTGCTAGCCATACTGGGGCTCCCTTATATGTTACTACTTCTTTCTCCCTTGCTTGCTTTAGGATTCTCTGTTTGTCTTTGATATTTGCCATTTTAATGATGACGTGTCTTGCCTCCTTGGGTTCCTCTTGAATGGGATCCTTTGTGCTTCCTGGACTTGTGTGACTTTTTCTCTCCTCCAATTAGGGAAGTTTTCCATCATTACTTTTTCAAACAGTTTCTCCATCCCTTCCTCATCCTCTTCTTCTTCTGGTATCCCTATTATACATATATTATCATGTTTCAGGTTGTCCTGCATTTCCCTAAATGCTTCTTCATTCTTTTTTAGTCTTTTTTCATTTTCTTGCTCTTTCTGGGAGCTTTTTACTGCCTTGTCCTCCAGCTCACTGATTCGATCCTCAGCTTCATCAAGCCTGCTTTTGATTCCTTCTACTGTGTTCTTCAATTCAGAAATTGCATTCTTCATTTGCTCTTGTCTCTTATTAATAGTTTCTGTGCCCTTTTTCATGCTGATATAGTTTGCAGTAAATTCCTCATAGTTTCCCTGTAGTTTTTGGTAATTCTCTCTGAGCTCACTGAGAGAATTTATTTGTCTTTGTGGGGATTCCTCCTTTCCCTTCGACTGAGGGGTGTTTCTTTGTCTTCCCATTATTTGTGAGACTCTTCTCTTTTGCTTCTGCTTCTTACGTTGATCTGTCTTGATTTTCTGACTTTGTGGTGTGAACTTCTATGGT